AGTATTCCATCCAGAAGGCTTCATCAGTCAAGGAAGCACACAACACAGAAGTTTTGTGTTGTGTGCTTCCTTGACTGATGAAGCCTTCTGGATGGAATACTTGGATTATTGAGCATGGACTTTGTTGGTTTTGAACCAGTTTGACATGACAGTCGACGAGGGAGAGGGCCGGCATCTTAGAACCAACATAACTGGTTTGCTCCACTTTGGAGTAAGCTGTTGGGGGAAGAATCAGTTTTGTGTTGTGCGTTTCCTTGACTGATGAAGCCTTCTGGATGGAAGGTGAAACGTTTCAGCATAAAAATAAAAAAGAAACTGTCCAGATGACCTGACTGAAAATTGTTGGATTGTATACCTGGATTATTGAGCATGGACTTTGTTGGGTCTGACAACAGACATAGGAGAGTGGGTTTGTTGAAAGCAAATTAAAGTTTTAGATCGACCCCGATCCGCTCGTCTGATGTAAACACAAGTACGGAGATTTTTGTTTGGTTGATTGTTATTTATATTTTCCCTTAAATGGTGCTACATTTGCATGTGGGTTGAGCAGCGGAGGTGAGTCTGAAATAACGTCAAATTCTCTCTTCCGAACATCTTACGCTGTTGTTGACGTGAGTTTCTGGTACTCCAGGTGCTGACAGTCTGGTGTCTGGTTGTTGCCTGATAATCAGTGCCTCTGAGCAACTAGCAGCAATCTCACATGTCTGCAGGCTGGGATTGACGCCGTCCTCCAAGATGATACCACTCGCCCCCACTGGGTGGGGTTGAGCGTGGAGAGGACGACCTCATCCCCACTGAACACCTGTGGGATCAGCTTGGACATAATGTTCGTTCCAGTGCATGAACACTGGTTAAAGGACGGGATTATGTTGCTGGTGAGAATCATAAGGAGCATGTGCTCATCTGTTGTGGCTGTGTATGGTTCTTCCACATGCTACTGAGGCCCCTGATAAATAAAGAAATAGTTAAAATGCCATTTTTTTACTTTGATCATCCAATCCAATAAATGGCACCAAACAAGTGTCAACAGCAAAATTAGTTGTTTGGCAGAAAAGATTTTCAACAGAGCACCCCGCATCCTGAAATCTGCTGTTCATCGCACCAAAGCTTTTTTATTGTAAATGTTGCACCATTTAAGGGGAAATAATCAGGTTTTCCACGTGTTTAAGTTTTATTATCAAGAAGCGTTGTCATAATAAGACACAATGAACCAAACACAAATTTATTTTAATTTTTTCCAACTGAATTAAATAATTCTTGAACTGCAGCGTTCACGACACCTTCCAGCAAATAAGAGCAGAAAGAGCAAATTACTGTATTTTTCAGACTATAAGGCACACTTAAAATCCATTAATTTTCTCAAAAATTGACTGTGAGCCTTATAATCCGGTGCGCCTTATTTATTAATTCTGGTTATACTTACTGACCTCGAACCGATTTTATGTGGTTATTGTGAATGAGCTGAATAAAGTTTGACTGTTTTATTTCGCTTAATGCACCTTAAAATCCAAATAATACAGTATTATACAGGATATGCATGTTTAACTCTAAAACCTTTGTGTTGAAGCTACAGAAAATGAAAGAGCAATGTGTTTTTGACACAAAATGTAAGGATTACAGTTAAAACAGACAAACAGTAAAAGCATTTAAAAATATGACAGCTCAATTATTTCAATGAGTGGACCTCATTTTAAATATCCCGTTAAAAAAACATGTCTCCAGATAAAAAACAACAATGCAACAACATTACAGAAGTGAGAAACAACAACAGCGGCAGCACCGATCTGGATGATTTGGCAGCGGCTGTCTAACTTGCCAGGGTTTGATCCTCTGGGAGTGACAGGCGAGGTGCGCTTGGCACCGTCATTGGTCCACAACAGGTCGCAGCGAGACTCCTGCCAGGTGGCGGAGGGAGACGTGCGCTGCACTGTGACACATAAACAACCCGACACTATTCCCTGGGAGGAGGCCGTGAGATGAAGGAGGACCTTGCTGCACCTACGTTCCCCTCTCTGTGCACATCCACGCCTTTGTTTTGCTCAAGAAAACTGGCATTAGGAGGGAACTAACAGAACTCTGCGTACGAGAGAGAATGCAAATGTCCTTTGATTAAAACTGGATACCCTTTTTATTGAAGCTGCAGCGTCAAAGGATTAGTAAATGGATTTAAGCTGCAAATATTTTATAAACTCCTGTTAAGCAGCTTGAAAAGGTCAACGTGACACAACTCTTCCCAAACAGAGAACCTGGATTTATCAGTTCAAAGACGACTTGCTTTAAAACTAGAGTTTTAAAGGGATTGTTTTGCTCTTTTAACGTGGGTTTCTGTGGAAGGGTTATGAACAGTAAATAGCCTACCTGTTGTAGATAGGTATTTGATTCGTTCTGACTAATGAGCTGGTTCAAATGGGGCCAAATGCAACTGCTACCATCTTAAAACAACCGCAATCTGAAAAATGTCATGGCCGATATCAACATTTACGCTCGTGTCAAGTTTCAATAACACAGTTATTCCAACAGAAATACAATTATAACTCTGCAGGATGTGCAGCAGAAGAGACACATTATACTGCTGCTGCTTTAAAACAAACCAAAAAAATAAATAAATAACTTTGATCAGAATTAAAGTTTATTTCTCTGGACTGAGGTGGTTCTAAGAACTATCTGCACCAGGTAAGATATTAACTGACCATACATTTTCACTGAACCCCACTTTAAAAGAGCTGATCTTATTAATTTTATGAACAAGCATTACAAGATGAGGGAAATCAACACAGCAACAAGTAAAGCAGATTGATCAGGTTACATAAAAAGCAAATCTCTGATTTTGCACCGATGCCATAAAAAAATTTGTTTTGTGTTCAATAATAATTTATAAAGTTTATACAACCAAATTAAAAATATAACAATAAAGCAAGTATAAATTAGTCATGGGGGTAGGCTTATTGCTAAATGGTGCCAAATGATGACCTACAGTAGGTACAGGTATGTGCACAGACTTTGTACAAATGAATGAACTGAGATTAAGATTTACAAAAGTAGAATTTTCTCAGTAAATATTTAAATACAATCAATTGCTTTAGAGCTCCTTTCCCAAAAAGACAGATTACAGTACTGCAGCATCCAAAAATAATGTAAAAATACTTTGACATTTCATGGTTGTTCTTTTAGAAATGGAGCAACAACCTTTTGATTTCAAGGCTCCGTTTAGCGTCCCGGTGTTAGTCATTCTCCGGTTTGGCCTGATAAGAGGGAAGGACACCTGGGACCAGGTGGGTCTGTCCATCTTTTAAGGATTACCTGGTTGTTAAACGCAAGTGACTAGGTTTGGTGGGAAGAGGCGGCTTGATTCCACCTGAAGCAGCTTGTGTCGGGGTGTCGGCGCTAAAGGTTTTCATCAGCTCAGCCACCCGGCCGCGCCCCGCACAGGCTGGCGCAGTCCTTGACGTCCCGGCCTCCGCCGAGTCGGGCCGTCGGTAAACTGCAGAGTCAAAACCTGCGAAAAGACGAGATGATGTGAGCTGAAAAACTCCCAGCATTCACAGGTTAATGAGAGGTTCACGGTTTAATGGGATTTATGGCAATGCTGCTTCAGTGTGCTTATAATTCACCTTACAAGGGTATTCACGTAAAAGTATAAAGCTTTTACAGTTTTTACAATTAGTTTGTGTACTAATACCATCAGCTAAAGTAACTATTTACTAGAAATGTACAGCCGTGTGAAAAATCAACAAAATCGTGTGCGCGAATCGTTTGGGAAAATTCAGTTCAGTTTATTTTATAGCACCAAGTCACGACAGAAGTTCTCTCAGGGCACTGAACAGAAACATTCATATATAAAAATAATCAGTTAACATTATTTATCTGAGGAGCAGACTGCTTTGAATTTAACTCCATCACAGAACTCTCATCTTGAGCAAGAATGAAGGCGACAGTGGAAAGGACAAACTCCCTCATGAGGAAGAAACCTTTAGCAGAACCAGACTCAGGACAAGTGGCCATCTGCTTCGACCGACTGAAACCCAGCTGGGTTAGATAGGAATAGATACACAATGGCAGATCAAGAATCAAATTAAATCTGACTTGTATGATGAGCTAACAGCTAGTCCGAGCAAGTTTGAAGTGGGTTGCTGTCATCTTTAAATCACTCCAATCTAAAAAGTTTCAAAGCTATTTGTCCAAAAGAACTTCACTTCATTTAGTTTTAGATGGTTGTTTACACTGATATTATTTCTATCTTAACATGTTAAGATAGAAATAGTATAAAATGAAAACTATTCAGTTTTAGCAAATCATTTTAAGGAAATGAGGTCAATTTGTCCTCCAGTAGTCTAAGCCTATATCAGCATAACAATTCAACCCTAACTATAGGATTTATCAAAAAGGAAAGTCTTAAACCCAGTCTTAAAACTGGACAATGTGTCAGCCTCATGGACAGAAACTGGAAGTTGGTTCCACAAGAGAGGAGCCTGATAACTGAAAGATCTTCCTCCATTCTACTTTTGGAAACTCTAGGAACTGCGAGAAAGCCTGCAGTCTGACAGCGAAGTGCTCTGATAGGAAAATATGGAACAAGACCTGTAACATAAGATGGAGCTAGGTTGTTGAGAGCTTTGTAGGTTAGAAGTAAGATTTTGAATTATTTCTGGATTTGACAGGGAGTCAATGGAGAGAAGCAAAAACTGGAGAGATATGATCTCTCCTACTAACTCCAGTTAAGACTTTGGCAGCTGCATTTTGGATCAACTGAAGACTTTTTAAAGAAGTATTTGGACATCCAGATAATAAACCATTGCAATAGTCCAGTCTAGACGTGACAAATGCATGAACCGGTTTTTCTGCATCATTTTAGATAAGATGTTTCTAATTTTAGCTATATTACACAGATTTTGTTTCAGCACACAATGGTTCATCCGATTCTTTGCCAGGTCAAAGTTCACGTTTTAATTTTTTTGTAATGTTTGTTCCATATGGAACAAACAATGAACATCAGCAATATCAGTGTAAACAACCATCTAAAAATAAATTAAATGAAGTTATTTTGGATGAATTGCTTTGAAACTTTTTAGACTGGAGTGATTTAAAGACGACAGCAACCCACTTTGAACCCGCACGGACTAGCTCTTAGCTCATCAGTCGGATCAGATTTAAACGCTGCTTCTGAAAATTGACGTTCAAAAGCTAACAGGTTAGATACTGACTGCTCACAACTGCTCCACAGAATCCCACTTGGATAAAATCCAAACAGTGTCTTTAAGACCATGAAAAGCAATCTGTAGCCCGGGCCTCCCTTTCTAATGTTTGTTAGCTTCTAGTTTTTAAATATTAGCTAGTAGTTAGTAACTATTATTAGATATTAGTTATTAGTTGAGATGAGCTAGGGGCTAGTTAATAATCATAGATCGGAGTCTGTTTTCTAAAATAAGCAACAGTGAGTTTTGACAGAGAACAAATTGCCCGTGTCACCTTTGACCTTTTCATTAAAACACAAGGATGTCATCAGAAGCACGTCAGCCAGGAGTCGTCGCCATGGTAACCGGATGGATGGAGCAGCTTGTTGACTTTCCACACAGTTTGAACAGATTAAAGTAGGCTCCCCCACTCTGGTAAAGACTTTAATGTGTCCAGCTAACATAAAGGAACTGCGTCGTCGTTTAAAGTTACACGATCTCCTAAACCCAACTAAACAGGAAGTAAGAAGATGATGTCGTTGACCATCAGGAAACAGCAAATGAGCATTAGGGTGTCAGTAAACGATGTAAACAAATATATGTGCTGCATAAGCTGAGTCCAGTTCTGCTCTGAAAACATCTTTCCTGTCGTTTTCTTTTTCTTTTTTAATTTGTCTTAATTTCTCCAGCTCCAGGTGAGCAGAGGTCATCCTCCGAGGAAGTGGAGCAGGGACACAGCTGGGTGTAGTTTGTGTCTGAGGTACTGCGTCGGGAAGAGGGAGGAAAGGAGGGAACAGGAGTAACGAGGAGGAGGGAGTGATGGGGGGGGGGGGGGGGACAGCGAGCAGACAGACGCTGCTCAGACACCAGAAGGCTTGAGGAGCCACATATTTTTAGCGTCATCCCCGGGGGGACGGAGATATGTGAGAGCACCCGTGTGCATGGCTACAGGACACACACACACACACACACAGATGCGAACAGTTGAATTTAAACAGACACGCACATTCTTCAGGTCCGTGCATGCTCACTCCCTCTCACTCGCAGAGCAAACACCCCTCCTGCTGACGGATTCAGTCACGCATGCCGCCATCTCTGACTAACACCACGGCCTTGCACACGCACACACACATGCACACGCACACACCTGGGGCCTATAACACTCTTCATGGCTGCAGGCTTGAAAGAAGTCGATTCTTTGTTTATTGTTGTTTACCCTCTTTTCTCCTCCCCTGCTCTCACTCCCTCCATCACCTCCCCTGTACCTTCCTCCTCCTCCTCTTCATCTTCCTCCCTGCGTGTCTCGCCCTGCCTTCCTGTGACCCCTGACCTCTGGATCCTGCGTTAATGTCCTCTTGCTGCGCTGCGTGGGCCTGCCTCTGATTGTCTCGTTGTGTTGTGCGGTCACCACGGAAACCTTGAATAGGCTCCAGCAATTGAGGCTGACACACATTCAGGCACGCACTGCACACACACACACACACACACACACACTTACGGTCAGAGTTTTTCGAGCTCGGAAGCCTCGGTGCAGGTCTGACAGGAATGCTTAACAGGAGAGAAACAGGAAGGAGGAGGAGGGCTGGCGTTGTGGGCTGTGCGGCTCAAACCTGAAGCTACAGACCAACACCTCCCCACAGGTAACCTGACTAACCTGTCCCAACACACCTACTGGTTGTCTGAACTCCACACCTTCCTGCCTGAGAGCCTCCTCAGCAGCTGCACCCTGATTCAGAACCAGTCCCCGAGGTGGAGGAGAACCTCTGCACGAACCACTTATCAACACAGATTTATCTCCCGTCACAGATTTTGGATTGTCACAAACTAGAAACACGAGGAAGACGAGGGAGCAGACAAACAAACAAACAAACACTATTTGTTGAAAACATCTCAATGTCTTTGGCTGGGAAATGGGAGGAACTGGAAGGGAAAGGTGGATAATGGGAAGTGGGTCAGAGGGCAGAATTCCTGAGAAGCACATCTGTGGACTGAAGGGCAGGGAGGAGGTGTGTGTGTGTGTGTGTGTGTGTGTGTGTGTGTGTGGGGGGGGGGGGGGTCAGCTCCTGGGGGCCTGGCTGAGCGTCATGCAGGACTAAGGTTTGAAGAACTGGACCATGTGTTCTTTGCAGGTGGACACAAGAAAAGACAAGTCGCACTCCGATGTCCATCATCTCTGAAAGGTTTGAACAGTGAATGTCTGTAGTTTTGGAGATGAGTGTTTTTCTGGACTGAACTGAACAGAGAATGAAGTAAACCTTAATGTTTTTGGTGTAAGATATTCAAGTGGGGAGGAGAAGAACATAGGAAGAAGTTTTTTGGGGTTTTTTGGAGGGAGCAATTTTATCCACCACCAGGAGCAATGATGGAGCCAGGGGTGGCCAATGGTGGCCTTGGCCCCCATAGATTAATGTTTGGACACCCCCAGGTTGACCTCAGTCATTTGAAGAAACTATACTTGTATAGAAAATAAAAAGCATAGTTCCCTCCACGGTGGTCAGTTTACATCAGACATAGATGTATTTCAACAAAGAAATCATCTAAACTGATGAACATCTGGTGTAAACCTGATTCAAGATGGCTGCCACAGCAAATAAACCTTACCAAACATAGAAATAACTACAGCTCAGTCAGTTTGACAGAGACTGAGCCATAATTATGTGTCTCTGTCACACTCCACAAACTTAAAAACAAACAAACAACAAAAACACTAAATTTAAACTTTGTTGTGCAAGTTGTCAGGAAATATGCATTAAATAAAAACCAGTTCCAGTGAAACTGTGATTTTAGTTTCTCTGTTTTCTTTCATTTAAAACATTTCAGATGATTTAAAAAAAACGTTAATAGAAAAATGCAGGTCTCCTGAGGTTTCCAGTTCTGAACAAACCTAAAAATATTCATTAGAGATAAAAAATGTAAAAGTCATTATTAACAGTTTATTAATTTATTTTTGTTGTTTGAGAAATAAAAAAACTTTCTCTGACTCCTCACTCAAGCCTTTTTTAAATTCCAGGTTAACAAAATATTATTTTAAAAATAAACTGCATTCCACATAAACACATTTAAATCTTATTAGGCAAAGCCCCGTCTCACTGTCCTTACATCTAACATCTGTAACAGGGGCGGTTCTAGGACCTGACCTTTAGGGGGTGCTCAGCCCCCAGTACTGACAATGGCTCTTGGCTTGAACAACGCACCCCCTGCTGTGGTTTGTGAGAAATGCAAAAGTTTACGCCACCTGGTATTCACTGGCGGTCTCCCATCCAAGTACTTAGACGAGATCGGGCGTGTTCAGGGTGGTGTGGCCGTAAACGATGAGCTCAGTCACAAATAAGACTTTTAAAGGATCATAACAAACAAAGACTAAGCTTATGCAACCAGAAGTTGCAACATATATCTACAATACAAAACACTCAAAACAAAACATAACTAGCTTTAAGCGTTAACCAAAACCCCTACAATGTTGTCGGAGGAAAAGGGGGTGGAGCTCCTGCAGGTAAGGGGCGTTTACCTTTGGGAAAAATTGAGATTGCTGATTGGTCTGTTACTGACAAGCTTGCTGGATTGATTGACAGGTGCCATCGAGGATCCGACTCGTGCCCAAAAATAATCATAGATTTTACTATCCTGTTTAAGAGTGTCATCATTTCCTCAATGTTTATTTCAAATATTTTTTGTGAATCTAATGTTTGATAACTGAGCTTCCTTACAAAACCCTAATGATGGTTTCTTTATTTTTCAGGGGTGTTGTGTTAAAACAGGGGTGCTTGAGCACCCCCAAAGAGAGGCTTAAAATTGCCACTGATCTGTGTTTACTCTTAAACTATTTTAATTTCATATATATTTCATGTTGTCGTCGCTGGTTCAGCACATCTTTAGAGCTGTGAAGACATTTCGGTCCATTTTCAGTCATTTTTCAGATGTTCACGTTCTGAGTGGTTTGTGTCTCTCAGCTCCTGCTAACGGGACGGAGCTCGTCATTACCCTCATCCAAATGGAAACAGCTGAGCTGTCATTGTCAGAATCAGACCTCCACACACATTTATTATTTAGGGTGTTTTCAGCCTCCATCTTCAGTTGTTTTTACCTACAATCACAGCCCGTCGTCCGGTCAGCTCATATTCAGCCACTAACGTCACTAAAAGCTCACACACCAGCCGTTCACATAGTTTTGAACTTGGAGACAAACTTGAAGCTTCCTCAAACCTTTCAGTTCGTCTCGGAGAGTTTAACAGCTGCAGACATAAATCTCTGTTTTAAATCTGCTCTGGTTTCATTTCTTTGTTTGAAAGAACATCCATGAGCCAGACTCTCACGACTGCTGTGTCATCACAGCAGACATGATATTTACCAAATGAATAAACATTATTTTATCAAAACTATTAGGAGAAAACACAATTCGAGCATCAAAACTGTGCTCTGATGTGTTGCAGCGTGCGTCGAGCTGCAGGAGGAGCAGATTTCCAGCAGAGGGACCCTTCAGGAACCTTTATGTTTGCTTCCCAACTTGACTTTTCTTCTACAGTATCAATGATTTCCACTGGATGGTGCTAACTCCACCTTTTCTTTACCAGTTTCTGTGAAAAAGTGGCTCACTTTGTGTGAGTGGGTGTCCGTTCTTGAGTCAAATTAATAAACTCATCTGTTTAACGCCCAGATGTTTGTTTTAATGAAAAATCATATATTTTAAAGACAAACTGCTTTTTCCCACCAACTTAACACCCGCACATGTGAAAGACTCAGCAGCTAGAACTCATTTCCTGTTTGTTAAAACGTAAAAATCAACTTTATATAGTTTGACTTGAGAGCCCAGTTACTGTCGAATACCTCCTCCTGCGTCAAAGTTGTCTTTACTCTCACTTTTATGGGTCAAAACACAACAATAATATTGTATTTTAATACATATGTGCAGATATTTTATGTTACTGAATATCAAATTTAAATAAAAGATGCATTTTTTTATTTACAACAACAAAGTAGTCCGTGTGAAGTTATTAAAAACTGTTGAGTAAAGTTCTGTCACTCGCAGCAGAAGAACAATTTGATGATTTTTAAAAACTTTTCAGAACTTTAAAAGAACAAAAATATGTTTTTTGTTGCTCATTTTTGACAAATTCAAATCAAACATTTAATATTGCACTCAAATATTGATGCTAAAATCAGTTTAATGATGATTTTGATCAGATTTTGTAAAAGTTTTTGCCTCCAGATTTTCTACATTTAACAGATAAGTCTCATTTCATTAAAGGGATAGTTCAGATCTTCTAAAAGTGAATAGTCTGTGAAGATGATCTCAGTTTGGAGTTTGTTTCTGACAGGAGTGATGAGCTAAGGGCTAGTCAGAGCAGGTCAGGAACCGAAGTGGGCTGCAGCCATCTTAAATCAGCTTCAGGTTTTATAAATTCATCCCCGTTAAAGCTAGTTTTATTTTCTAAACCTAATCTCTGATGCATTACTCCGGCAGACATGTTCCTGTCAGAAGTGCTACAGCTAGCTGCTGCTGCGCATAAACAAACACAGAACTGCGTGTAAACGTTTATCTTGCAACTGACAGTGATGCGATGGTTAATAAAATTACTCGAGCTGCCCTGAAACATGTTAGATAGTAACCGGGCCCGGTCGGGTCAGAATTCAACTTTATTTCTTCCGAATGAGGCCCTTCCTCTTCAAGTACACTAGTCCCTCGCTACTTTGTGGTTCGACTTTCGTGGACTTGCTCTCCTGCAGGCTTTCAGCATAAGATTGTACACAACACACGATTGTCAACTTCAATATTACTCACATGATTGGGACGGTATAACAAGTTAACAGGGGAAAAAAACTTTGGGCAGGCACTGCAGTTTTCTTTCAATAAGCTTATACTGCAACGGGGGTGGGGTCCGGGAGAAGGGCAAGCCGTCGGGTGTTGACCAGGACTATGTGGGGGTTCAGGGTCTAGGGGGTTGCCGTGGGCGGTGCTGGCGCTGTGCTCTCCCTGGGGTTGTTTGGACCCCCTGAGCTTGGCTCTTGGGTGCCATGGTTGGCCCGCTGGCCGGGGTGGCTGCCGGGGCCTGGCGGGCGGTCGGCTGGGGGCGCGTGCTTGGTTGTTGGCGGTGTGTGGGGGTGGTCGGTGGCGTGTCCTCTTCATGGTGGGGGGGGTGTCCTGTCGGCGGTGCATGGCCTGGGCCGGGTCTGGGGTATTGGCTCTTCTCCGCTCGAGAATGAATGGGTTTACCTCCTGGGTTTGGGCATGGGCTGCCCCCTGTAGAGGGCGGGTACATGTCTTGGACCTGGGGGGTATAGAGTGCGTATCGGGAATAAGAATGAAATGTATCGTTATTGTATGTCTTTGAGTGAGTGAATGTGAGACTGAGGTTGGGATTGTGTGATTGTGTCTGTGTATGAATGGGTATTTGTTAGGCTGAGACTCGGACTGCCCCCTCTTTGATACAACTGGGACATTGGCATCGCGCCCCTATCACGCGGCCCCCTGGTGGGGTGTGCCCTTGCCTGCCGGCGTGCTTGGGGCCCTTGGTGTCGGGGGCTGGGCGCTTGGGCGTGTGTCGGCTCGGCCTGGTGTCTGCCTGGTGGGGCTCGGGTCCTCTGGCCCTGTCGGGCCTTGGCCTGGGTGGTGTGAGTCCTCGGTGCCCGGGCCTCGGTGCCCGGACCTGGACCTACATCGGTGCGGCGGGTTCCGACGGAGGCCTATGAGTTTGTCGCTGTTGGTCCCGGGGGGTCACTGTATGTGGTCGCTGGTGGGGATCTTCCGGTTCTCCCCTGTGGTCCGTTCTGGGGGGTGGGTGAGTGGTTCGTCCTGTGTGGGTGGCTCTGGGGGCTCCGCGGTCGGGGTCCCTCCTGGGATCTTGGGCTCTGGTCCCCCCTTTTTTGTCTGCCTCTGGTCTTGGGGGTCGGGTCTCTGCTGCTTCACAGTTACTATTAAATGTTCTATTAGAGAAGCCTTATACACTTATGCATGCTCACAACCACACACAAATAGAAGCAGGGATGTTTATGTAGGCTTTATATGTAGATATATAGATATGTATGTGAATGTATATTCATGTGTATGTATGTATGTATGTATGTATATAGGCGTAGGTATGGGTATATATATTTATGGAAACTTACTGCAAAGCCATGAATATTTTAAGTTCTTTATACATATGTATTTTGTTGCTGTGTTTTGTCATGTTCTTTGCAGGTGAACAGACAGTGGCCGGGTGTTTTGCCGTGTGCTCTCTTTGTGTATATTTCTTATATTTTGGAGTCTTACTTTGTCTTTTCTTTCTTTCTATCCTATTATTTAAAAATAATAATAATAAAAAAAAAACTACACTAGATAGTCACTAGAATAAATATTTCATAATAATGGTGTAGAGAGGATGGCTGTAAGGGGAGAAGGGAGGCCATCAAAAAAAAAAAAGTTAACAGGGGAAAAAAACTTTGGGCAGGCACTGCAGTTTTCTTTCAATAAGCTTATACTGCAATGCCAGTCAAAAAAAACTACACTTCCCAGAAGCCAACAGTGCTTCCAGCCGCTGCTTTCTGCCGAAATGTAGGGATTGTTTTGCAACTCAAAGTCAGAAGTAACTATCTATGAAGCTCACACAACTGGCAGAAAAGTCTAAAATAATCCTGACGCTCAATGATCCACGATCCACGTGCACATCAACCTGGACGGGGCGGTGGGCTTCGTCGCTGCAGGTCTGCAGAGCTGGTGAGTAAAGTTTTGCAGTACTGTACAGTACAAATACGTATGTTGTTAAAATGACGTAGGTTTAAGAGTTTAGAACATTGCAAGAGTGTGGGAAGGGTTTATAAAACCTTAAAATATATAAATACTAAAATAAATATAACGTTCCTACGTCATGGTTTTTCAACTATCATGGGGGGGGGGGGGGGGGTGGAGCGGGAGCGTAACCCCTGCAATAATCAAGGGACTACTGTAGTATTTTCCCAACCATCACATGTGGTTGACCGCGGAAAGGAAGGGTGAACAGACCCGGAACAGTTTGTCCATCGATCCAGAATTTGTTCTGACACCTGACCCGACCGTCACCTTCACCTCTGACGCTGCGCTCACCTTTTCCTCCCTGGAGCTCCTGGGAGTTCGAGCTGGGTGAGGCTGACACAGTGGAGGAGGAGGACGAGGAGGAGGAGGACGAGGAGGAGGAGGTCGACATCACGGCCTCCAGTCTTGAATCTGTGGGGTCGGGTTTCTCGTTGATGCAACCTACAGTCGGGTTTGCAGAAGCCGGCCTCACTCTGACAGCACCCGCTCTCGTGGGAGGCCCCGAGCAGACGGGGGACTGGGGAGACGTCTTCTCCTCGGTTGCCTTCGTCTCGGGCTGTGAAGGAAGGAGACAGGAGTTAGCGCCATGTTTGACCAAATCAAGACATCAACAACTCCCTGAGCGTGGGCAGGACCGAACCCAGAACTCTGACCTCGGATCAGGAGTTTACGGCTGAGAAGAGAAAAATAATTTGATAATTTCCCTCCCTGATCTCACTCCTTAATCATCAGCCTTCCCCTCCTCTTCCTCCTCTTCCTCCATCCCTCACAAAATCAGCTGGAGGAAAACCTTCGATGCAGCAAACCATTAAAGCAACAATTCTGCTCTCTTGGAGCGGGGTTCTGTGGAAATGTGAACAAACATTATCTTACCTGTTGTAGGTAGCGCTTTGAGGCGCTTTTTGAATTTCACATTGTGTTTTCTGCGGTTATTTGCAAGTGCAGTAGCAACTAGCTGTAGCACTTCCTGCAGGAACTTTATGATATATCTGCTGGAGTAACAGTGAAACCTGAAATTGCAGACGATGTAAAGGTTTACGACCGAGTGTTGGCATTAGCCACGATGACTTGACAGAAATTCACTTTACTCTGGGCCCTGATCAGACTAGCCATTAGCTCATCAGTTCAGTCAGAATTAAAGCTGCTCATTTAGATATTGAAATCAAACATTAAAAGGCTTGTTCCACCACATGTACCACATGAGATGCGAATGACAAATAAATCTCTCTGACTACCCTACACTGCAGCAAACGATGTAGTCGGAGAGAGTTCACTCCAGATAAAGTTCTGATACAGTTCCGAAATGCGGGTCTGCACTCAGTGTAAACAAAGCACTCAGCTGAATCTGACAATTGGATTTTTGTTGAGACTTTCAACTGTTACCGTTTCACTCATGGGTGCAACTCCTACCAGAGGGAACAGGCAGAGGTAATGGTGACCAGGTTGCTGCTGGATACAGAACAGACAAAACCATCCCTAGATTTAGGAGGCTGAGGGGGAACGAGGTACCAGCCTCCCATGGAGCTCCTCAGACCCCAGAATCTGCCAAAAACTGTGTGAAGGTTCGAGTCACATGACTGACCCACGCCAGGCTGACTGTCGTCTGTGACGTTAAACAGCGAAGTGTAACGGCTTCTGGTCACAAAGTTTAAATTTAACGACACGTTCATCAAAATAATGTGAAGTTTTTGTTTCTTACTTTAAGAACGTTTTGTGTTTGGTCTTTGTGACATTTTACATTCTTAACACTTACTGAACTTCATAATAATGTACCGAGTTGTAAATAAAAATCAACTCTCATATAA